AGATCTCAGCCTCCTGAGTAGTTAGGATTATAGTTGTGAGCCACTGGCGCCTGACTCAAGTGTTGACATTGGATAGACGTAGTGGTATGACTTTGGTGCTTCCTAAGAACAACTGAGGAAGCCGGTAGTCTCTAAAATGTAGTGGGGTGATGTTCGGTGCTCAGCTGTTTGAGATTTTTCCCAGGATGCAGCTGTGAAAGTGACATCCTGGATAACTCCTCAACTGGGCAAACAGACACATTTTTTTTTTTACCCCTCAAAATGGTACTGAGGGACTCTCGGCAGCCATGTATGGGGTGCTTGCTCTGATCTTCTGTGCTCACAGTTGTTCATGCCCCTTCTTAGTAATGTGCCACCCTTTGTTCCCCTTTCCCTACATTCTCTACAACTCTCTCTTCTGCCTGTGTCAAGGCCCCCAGATGGAAGCAATGACACCCTGCCCCAAGCTCACCTCTTTTAAGCACAGCCCACTGGTTCCAGGGCTGAGTTCTCTGGGAGCCAGGAAGTAATGTCAAGAAGGTTCAGAGTTTTGTGGGAGAGGGAATGTATGGAGACACGGTGACAATGGGAGAAAAGCAAATGCACCATTGTATAGGTTAGCTGACTTGGAGCTAGGAAGGGAAAGCAAGCTGCTTTCCCATCAACTAGGAGAGGCACAGAGTACTGACTTTCTACCATGAGCTCATTTTGTAAAAAGAAAGCAGAAAACTCAGCACTAGCTTATATCCATTGCTAAGATGCTTTAGACTTATGGCCAAGCCCCACTGTCCTTAAGTTAGCTCAAGAATCCTTCAAACATCTTCTTCTCTCCATTACTGACCTTAATGTACAGAATCTCTTTCCTGGTCCATTGTCCTGTGCCAAAGGGCAATTGCCCTTGCAGGTCAAAGGGAGAGAGAAAAATGATGTTTTTTTTTTTCAACTTTCAAACCAAGTGGACACAACTGGTTATGTCTCAATGATGTCTCATCTGGGACTACTTTCTATTTACTTCGAGTGGGGTGTGCTTCGTAGAATGGGATTCTTACTTTCAGGACAGCACAGTGGATCCAGTTTTCTCTGGGGTTCAACTTGCAGGAGAGGCTCTGAAAAGTTGCTTCTGCCCCTGCCTGCCATCTGCAGGCCTCCTTCCCTGCCTCACAGGGGCCCTGGGCATATGTTGATTCTGGCCAACCTTTTAGTTCCCATCCTACTCCAGAGAGTCTGACTTCTTTTTTTTTTAAATTTAATTTAATTTTATCTGTGAACATACTGTACAGAGGGGTTACAATTACATGGGCAGGATAATGCGTACATTTCTTACCAAGCATTGCAGCCTCCTCCTTTGTTTACC